TGCAATCGGCCGGATTAGCGATTCATCCAGTTACTGAAGGTTTTTCAAGGGTACTCAAATTATTATCAATAACTTTTGTTTCATCACCTTTTTTTTAGCATTTCTGGTAAAATATTTAAAAAATACTCAAAAGGATTTAATAATAAATGGTCAGGTGTCCAAACAAGGCACATTCATTTAACTTAATTATTTATTAGGCAATGAAGAAATCAGTAATCGTTGTTTTTTTTTACAATTTTAGAACTTCAAAATTTAAACCGATTTTGAACTATATAATTAGTGTTTGTGTACAATTAAAGTCCGGACATTTGGATGAGATGGGTTAAAAATCATCAATTAATTAATGGATTAATGTGCTATGCAGACTAACGCGTTCACCGTATTGAGTTTCTATAGTTTCCACTCTAATATGTAATTAACAATGTTTCATTTTTTTCTTTTATCAGTTATCATATAAATGTATAATATAATAAAGATAACCATTTAAAAACAATTCAATTGACATAAGGTTTTATTATTTTAAACGCTGGAAGATAAACTGATTACTGCATTACTGTAGATTAGTGATTGATTAGTGATTAATGATTACACTATATTGATGTACCGATGCGAGTACACGTATTACATGTACTATGATTAACACAAATTAAAGTATATACCGGTTTAAGATTACAATATAATGGCACTTAAAAAAATGATATCTCCAACAATATTCAAGAGTAACATTTATTTAATAGAAGCCACTATTTTTCAAGTACCCACTCGACAAAAACAATTTAATTGTTAAAGGTTAAACCTATACATTTAAAAATCAAAACACAATAACACAATAATTTACATAATAGTATTGTACTTTTTCATTTTCATGAACATACAATTGGTGTTAACTTAAGAGATTAGTAATGACTGAAAAGTGAAAACGATCAAATTAGAATATTTTATCTATAAAGCATAAATTGAGCCGTATTTTTTGTATAGTACCTAACCCATGGCCATTTTTTTTTGTTTTATAGTTTTATACTGCACGGTCGTAAATAGACAAAAGTCATAGTTTTAAGACATTTGAGATCAGGTGTGACTTTACATTTTTTACTCATATTTTATTATTATTGTTTTGTTTTATTATTATTGTGATGTTTTTTTCTTTGGCATCAAATAAATAAATTATAAAAAAATCATATTTGAAATTATGACACATGTTTGCCCTTCTCCGATTTTCTTCCCATCTTGACCAGAGTGTTACTTCAACGCTAATGGTAATAATAATGTCTCCAACAGTTTTTATGTCACCACATTTTCGGAGGCTTTTTTGTCATTCGTTATGTGCGTCGTTATATGATTTATGTTGTATAATATATTATTGCCGCTGTAAGTCGTGTATCCAGACAAGGTTTCAACTCCCGTAAAACAGACAATTTTACGGGTTAAGCTAACTGAGTTCGTAAAAAACAAGGACCGTTGAAAAATAAATAAATAACCTCATCTTGAATGGTGATTTGTGAAAACATTTATACTCACCTCACAAAATAGAGTAAAGAGACAACTAGATCAGTGTTTCCTGTAAACATTACTGCGAATCATAGTCATTTTTCTACATAAATCATCAATGTTACCATCTATTTCTAACGATATTTTCAATCAGCATTAAATTTACTTCCTATATAGTTAGTTTACGAAATACCGTGAATTACTTAGTTAGGTTTATACTTATAATGAGAATTAAAAAAAAAAAAATATTTTCATAGACGTTGCTATAATAGTTATCTCTATCACGCTGAGTTCAAATCGTTAAGTCCAACTGTCCAAGGTCCATAGGTGTACCTAAAATAATAGCTTGAAGATGTATAAATCTTCAAGCCTATTTTTATTTGCATACATTTTATCATATTGATTATGGTTAAAAATGTAATTTAATTCGATTATATAGTATAAAATGTCATTACCTGCAGAAAGATACTAATTAATTTATCCTTTTGAAAATATTTATTTTTTTAATAAAAATAACTATTAGGTAGGTTAGATAGCATGAGTCATGATCACGGTTATCTATATTACTATACTATCTATTACATTGGACACTGATGTAGCTAACCATGGTTCTGACTAATGATATAAGATGGACATATTTTTGGTCATGACTCATGATTCATTACATACCTGACGTAAATGTCTTTGAATGTATTTTCAGTATAAAACTACAGTAAGAACAGAATTTTTAGTATTAATTTATAAAAATATATTTTCAAAGTCGATTTTTGTTTAATTTATTTTGTAAATTAAATTTAAAATTAATTCCTCGTCACATTTAATTCGACTATTACTATTTTTTTTCACATCATAAACTATATTTTTCATTTTTATACTTTCATTTTTGTCCTATATTAATTTTAATTACAATGTTGATGCCTTGATGGTGTCACATTTAAATCATATTAACATTTTCCCATGCACTTATAGTTTTTAATAATAATAATTAGTCCTTTATTAATATATTTATAATTAGTGTATTAATAATATTAACTATTCTAAATAATTTAATGAATTAGGGGTATTAATGCAAATAAACGGTTATTATAAAATGTATAATTATTTAATTATTGAGGTCATCAGCTACGCGTAAAATAAATTATGTAGGTATTTTTGAAATGTTTCGTGTATATGTTCAAAGTGTAAAAAAATAGAGAAGTTCAAAATATTAAAACCCAAAACAAACACAATATAATAGGTTTTCAACGTTTAATGTCAGTCCATTACGATTACATAGCACTATAATAATTGTTATTTTTTTCCGAGGTGGAAACGGATTTTGTATTCAAGCTGTACTGAATTTCAAAAGCTTTATCAATCCAATAATCTAATAGTTTGATAAGTTCATAATCAAGCCCATTCGACCATGAGTCTTAAAATAGTAATAGTATACTCGTGTTCCCGGAAATCTTCACTTCCCTCGCTGGAAGTCGTAACCCATTGTCTACGGCGAAGGTGCATATTGTCTTCATTATGGATCACGTTATGCAGTCTATTTCATAACAACTTATTAATACTACTAATAATATAAATTGTAATATACTTAAACACCTATTCAACCTGCCATGCCCGTGAATTCAAAATCTACTATATGCTGAACGAAAATAACCAAAAAAGACGATTGAAGTCTCCTACATATATTATTATGACGTATCTTAAGACTGTTTTCTCATTACACATCTAGATTATTCAAAATAATACGAAATATTATGTATCTATAATATCTATACTTGCCAAATATTATGCACTATTATGCACAATATTATGACTCATATTAAAAATTAATTGCTTATAATAAGAATTATAAATATATATATAATAATATTATATATTATGTTTATAACTATATAAAATTCTAATAATTATTTTGCCAGTACAATTTAATATTTATAACAGCAGTGTATTTACCTTCAATTTGTAACATTGAGAGTTGGTTTAGTATTAAAATTGTCTTTAAAACATAAGAGCTTATATACGTCCTACATATTTTATTAAAATTAAACTGAATAACGCATAGTGAATTTCTAGAGCTTGGGAACTATGGATACAATGGTCAATGTAAATACCAACCATGTATCGCACATTATGTTATATTTTCTATTACTTATTATTTATTACATACATATTAAAAATAATTTACTTTCGACATTCCTCCATAGAAAAAATAAATCATTCACAATATTCGAGAACAGGATGTCCAATAATAATAGTTGATCAAATACCAACCAAATATATTTTAATGAAAACTCATTCTATTTTTTATATTAGGTATAACATAATATAATATAATATAGGTATTACTTAAAATAATTTAATCGTCTTCTATCAAATGTATTTTTGAAGAATTGTCTAGTTATAGAAAAACATTTAAATGTTAATAGTTCAAAATTACTTTTTGGAATACTAAGTAATAATTTATTTATTGAGTATTGGCCGAGTTTCGTATTCCAATTTCCAAGCATGGAATCAAATATAGTCGAATATTGATAAATCAGAACTAAAGCATTTATTTCATAGACATTAACCTTAAAAACTGTATGCATATGTTTTATTTAAATGATAAAAGTTATGTAATCAGAACTCCAATAATTCAATTTTTTCTATTAGAAATATACTTAAAAATATGTTGATCGTTAATCACATAAAAAGTATAATATTACTTACCTAGATTCAACACTACACAATTTCATTAATAAAGTATTCTTTTAGTGCATGCTCTAGTCAGTAAATAGTAAGTAATAAAAGTGATTATGAAAATTGTTTTTTTTTTTAAATTGAAGAAAATTGACAATCCTAGTAGTTTTAAAAACAATAAATTTGGTATTTCAATTTTTAACCAACAACAATGAATAATAATTACAACTAAATTAAAGCAAAACCATCTATTAAATATTCATATTAGATAAAATATTAATTATTAATATCTATTTGATATTACCATTTACATTCATCTGCACGAGGACTGGTGGCCGATCACCGGAACACGGACTATTCCAAAACGAGTAGATAAAAATGTTCGATTATGCTGTTATACTATTTTTTATTACGCATGCGCTTCTCAAGTCTAAACCAACAATAATATTATATAACAAATAGCACAATATTATAATAGTACATACCTAGTCGATAATTATTGGTTTGTTGTAATTTTTCGACTTTCGACAGTCTTTACCGATTAAAGATACGTATTATAGCGTGCGTACGCATAGTAGTATTAAAAATATACATTTTTTTTTTGCATTCGTAAGTCGTAATTTTGCCCCGATTGGCCACGGTCGTTTCGGTGCATAATATTATTACCTACCTACCTAATATTATTATTACTACTATGATTTCCGAGAGAGGAGCTGCTCACAATACCACGCAACCGCACTACAGGTATATTGGTATATACCATACGCTACATTTATTATAATATACGGCGGCGGCGGCACATCACTAGCGCAGCGCGCGGCGCACGAAGGCCAGGTAACACGCATAGGTGCCGGTTATCCCCTATGGCCGTCCTGCGCACACCGCGCGACGGCCGAAACCGATTCAGTACGCCATAACTCGTCCGGCTGTTCAAGTGGTTCGCTCTCGTGCGCGCTAACGAAAACGCACACACGTCGAATCTGCTCACCCGCGCACACGAAACGTCGTTCGGTCGTCGGTTTTTAAAATTTTTTTGTCCGTTCGTTTCGGAGCTTCACTATCGAAGAAAAAGTGTATAAAAACATCAAAAGACGTCGCATCGCCAACGACTCGTCGGGCGAAAATTCGCAAGTGCGCAAGTTTGCTCTCGATTGCGATTGGATAGACGTAGATAGTAAATTTTTTTTTCAACCGAATTTCGTAGTGTCTTCGCTGTTTGTTCGTTTCGGAAGATAATAATATCGATATCGTCAGTACTTCTACCTCATAAGTTCATCAGAAGCCGGGAGCATATACCCAATACCGTTCCCGCGGTTTTCCTTCAATCGTCGGGTCGTCTTCGATTTCGATTCGCGAGGTTTTTCTTTTTGGTTTTTTCTCAACGTTTTCGCGTAAGACATGTCGTTGACATGACCGCGTTCCCACCAGGTTGCCGCCAAGTACAATGTCTTCTTCGTCTGGTGTCGCCGATCCCGAACCGGACACTATGATACAGGACAACGTCGCCGCGGCGTACGCGCCGTCCGGTTACTCGTAAGTTGTTTATCATTTATTAAGTCGTTTTTATTTTGTCTTTCGCGATTCTACTTATATTACCTGCAATGTTATAATCTATGCCCCTGCTCCAAAGCATAGGTACCATAGATACCCTTCATATTGTGCCAACTATTGTTTATGTTGAAAAATAAATAACAGGAACGTTTTTGCCCGACTTTTCAAAAATTGACGCCTAACCACCACCCCCCACCCACACTTTTGTTTTTAAAAAACTCGATACGATTACCGCAATCATATCGATAGAAGTTAATAGGTAATCAATAAATAATATGATATTAGGTGCCTACGGATTTCCATTTATGATCATCGCCGTCGGATACAATGATTTTTAAGGCAATCAAATTTTATTTTTTACCACAACTGCTGTTTGTTTATCCCCATATTATTATTATGAATTTCGTACAAGTATTACCTCGCGCGTCTTATGTCATGCCGGTGGACAGGAAATTTATGGTCGGCTTTTTTATGTAATGCATTTTTTTACATCATTAATTGTGCGTAACAATTGTTATTATACACACTTGTTGTTATTTTAACAAAAACAAGTGCTGTGTTGAATTTATTTATTGTTTGGTCGCTACATTTGATTCGCTTATCGATTTGAGTGATTCGGCTGTACCGATACCTATTAGGTATAGTGTCGGGTCGTTGCAGTAAAATTCCTGCAGATCTTAATGATGACCAATGTAGTCCAGCGATTAAGTTATTTTTTCTTTTTTTGTATGCGCTAACGTTTAAGTCGTTACATTCATCAAAAACACAACACCGACGAAACGTTTATAATTACATACAAGATACTATCCTCCATAATCATAATAAATAAAAAAATAGAATGAAACAAGCATTTATCACAGATTAAGGAACTCGGTGAAAGGAAGAGTGCTAATGTGTCGTGTATGCGGCATTTACATGTTCTCTTCAAGAACGAAAATCCCGATGACCTATGATTTCCGTTGAAACATTGTATGTATACTAGAGGTGCAAATACTTTTTTTCTGGGTCAGTACCCATTGTAAAGTAGTAACGCCAATGGAATATTTATAGGATTATATCTAATATATATGAATTAAGAAAATATCGCAGTGTGTTTTGATTCTGGTAAATAAATATAATAATTATAATTCGTAATGTGCATATCATTAAAAATTTTGTCTCCCATCATGTGTAACACGCGAAAAGTAAATTTATAAATTTTATCTTAACTCGGCGTACAGTCAGTACTTCTTTTAGCTGAAAATTTTGTCACGAAACTATTTTTAAACATATCCACCAAGGCCGAATCTACACCAGAACTAATTGACCTCACATGAAACTTTTATCTTGTAACGCTGTTAAAAGTGCGGTTTTTTTCCAACGTAAAATATTCCACAGGAACGACTGTAAGGTGTTGGTTTTTTTTATTGCCGCCGTAAAGATAATTTTATTCGGAATCATAAAACCCGCAACCAGCCAATCGTCACACGACGCAGCTTCCATTGGCCCGTGTCGTATAATTTAATCAAAACTTGTGAAAATACATGCATCTTGATTGATGCGTAATTGTTTGGTCGGATGAAAAGAGATGCTCAAATACAGTTTTGCTCGATAAAAATAAAAAACTTGCTTTATTCTTATTTACATAATATATCATTGTTAACATAATTTTATCATTATTATTATTATTAAATACACATACAACAGTAACAAGCTCTTTCTCGGAATTGTAACTATTCGCAAAGTCACTATCAGTAATTGTCAAATGGTGCAGTGGGTATAATAATATTATGTATATACTGCGGTATACAGTATTCTTATATATCGTATACACCTCTAAAAGCATACGGAGACTGGGAGACTGTTCGATATCTTAGTTCCGTCATATATTTAAACGAATACAGACAACAGTACTTACCTTTAAATATGTAATTTCCTTTATACGATTTTCATCAGAAATATTTTTGCACTCAGTGATATTTCGTACCTATAGCCTACGTATACGAACGAGATGATTTCAATATTTCTCAATTTTTAAACAGTGTACACACAATAATTATAGGCATACGCTTAGTCATAAAGTCTATACCCTATATAGTGTATACTCATAATGCAACCACTGCGTGTAGTCTAAATTTCACATTAAACACACATACGATGTTTTTTTCTTTTATTATTAACACAATTCCGCGCCGCCACATGCACTTTCGTCATCGAGAGCAATACGTTCTCCCGAGACAGCGAGAACGCGTAGGTACCCGTTATCACATTTTCGAGTAAGAACTATAAAAACAAACAATATCGCACTTCCTGTAAACAAGCGTCTATATATAATTATCTTTGGTTAATACCTTATTGACCGTGTTTTCACAGAATATGATATTATATTGTACATATTATAATAATATAATAATACTGCTAATTTACTGCGCCGCATAATAATATTATATCCTATATATAAATCACGGTTGAACTAAACTGCAATGTCTATTCGGTGACAACAATAACATGCGCGGTGCGCCTATACACGTATTAGTATAATATACGGGGTGATCCATTATTTTACTTAAATTAAAGACTCATTATTTCAGAAGACTATCGGTTTTGAAATTATTACGTTTACATAATTTTTCATAGTTATAAAACAATATTTTTATTGAAACAAAAATTAATATGTTTTATCGGTGATCTGGTTTTTAGTATTTTATATATACTCTGTTGAATGATAAGCGATAACACATTTTTAATTTCATATTCTGAAGCTTGAGCTTCCGAAATATGAGTATTTCGGTGTATAAAATCAAATTTTGGACAAATAGTTTATTAGTTACGAGTGTTTAAAAATTTGATGAGTGGGATGAGTAGTCGACCAATATTTTTCTGGATACCTCTGTATAATCTGTATCACTACATTCCTCACATAAAAACTTAAAATACTATAAGTTGTAATGTTCATGAACGACTCGTATGAAATTCAAATTTTATGTATTGAAGTACTCCATAAAAATAGTCTGTTTTGAATTAAAAATTAACATTGCATGTTTCCATAAAAAAAATTAAAAATTACAACAATAACGATCTAAAATAGTAAAACAAATTTTATTTTCGACAAATGTTGTTTCTAATAAACTTTTCAAAAACTTAAATAGTTTTTATGGAACAATTAATGGATCTTACGTTAAATGGATCACCCGGTATAGGTATTGTCTTCCACAAAAATTGCCCAACCACCATACGTGTAGTTATAATACGTATATACGCTTTTCTTATTTTTATTAATCTTACAATAAGAGTAAATACAACGGGAGTATTGGCCTGACTCTTGACCTCTATTATTAATCTCGAGAAAAAATACCTGATAAGTATCTAGTAATTAGGCCGTATTATCCAACGTAGGCCTTTTCGTATACCCTTTCACTCGATTCCGCGCAGTTTTTATCTTCGCATCGCGGTGCGTCATTGGGAAAATAAACCATTACATTTTTAAGTAAAATTAACCGTATTAATAGGAATAGGATCCGCCGGAATCGTGGAATTTGAGCAGCATAATGTAATTAAGATGTATTGGTATAGGTTCTACTATTTTAATTTGTTGTAACAATTTAAGCAAACGAGTTCCCACAGAATTTTTCTTTCTAAAATCATTTACTTTTATTTTTGCCGTAAAAAAAGAAACAAAACAAAAAATACCTAGTTGTTCTTCTTATCCGTTTTCAATAATCAAATAAGTATGCGGATTGTGATCTGGGGGCGTCACGCTTGAGCAAAACGTTTACGAGGAATTGTAAGGAAAATTATTACATGTATTTTATATTTTTGTTAAATACGTTCCTACCAAAATTACTTTCTTGTGTACAAGAGAAAACAATGTTTGTATTTTATTTATTTATATTAAAATATTTTTAAAAATACACAATCTTTTGCTGTGGACTGTGGTGATTATTTTTTTATTCATCATTATTGAGTATTGATAATTTTTATTTTGTAGAAAAGTATTTTATTTTTTACATTTTACATACGTATTACTTTATATTCTATAGGTATATAGGTATCTATACCTAGTCATTATGGTAGTTTAAAATTATATTATATTGAACATTTCACTCGAAATTTCACTAGCTTTGTAAATAATTTCAATTTATTTTATTTCATTTCAATATGGGCCGCGATTCAAAAGATAAATAAACATTTTACAAAATTAGATATACGCAATTCAAAATACATTATAGGTAACATTATAAGTATCTATTCTTCAATAGTAGTTTTCAGTTTATATTTTTATTATTTTTTTAGACGAGGAATAGATACATATTATTTAGTTATTAGTTATAACCCGCTTGTGTTGTCTCCATCTTGCAAGTCCGCAACGTAGCAAATTTATGCTCACCAGGTCATGTTTAGCTTTCTTATAGTTCAAAAATTAGAGGACATGAAATTTGATGGTAAGAACATTATCTGTGTTCTTATGTTGATATTTTACGATACTTCAAATTTTTGGCAAGTTATGCGTATAATATTTAGCATAAATTAAAAATGCTCACAACTCACTTAAAAATTGAACTATCGTAAAAAACCGACATATGTGAACACAGATAATATTCTAACCATCAAGTTTTATCATAGGTCGATTCACCCTAGTTTTTAAGCCAAAGGAATTTTAAACGTGATCTCTTGATCGTAAATTTGTTATGTTCCGCGTTTGTAAGACGGAGGTCGAGACAACACACGTGGGTGTGGCGTCCTCTTAATTACTTTTTAAACTATTAAAATAAATGAATACAAAATGCAAAGAAGATCGATTATGCAAGTAAAAATGTATATAAATAACATTTTTATAACAAAATAATATTATTATGTATTTGATTTTGATATCACTCAGCTGTTTCATCTAAATTGCCATTATTTGAAACCTTAATTTAATCGAACACTCACTTATAAACGATGTCATATGCAACATTATAAAGCCATTATAGACGGAACAAAGTCTATATTTCATTTTTTTC